AAAAGTTGTAGGCTAAAAAGCACACAAAAGCAAAACCCTCCTCCGTGTCTTACAGGCTCTGATGGAATCTATTATGCTTTTCCTTCATCTTTTCTTGGGGGAGGTTCCTTTGAATTTAATTTTCTCTTTATATATGCATTTTAACTAATTGTCTATAATATATTGCTTTGTGGGTTTTTTCCATTTAACACCAATATTCAGATGTATGCTTGTCACCTCACTGCCATTTTTTCTTGGACATCAGGTGAATCCCATGAAAATTCCTAAAGTTTAGTCACTTTGGGGACTACTTAATTTATTATTCTGCTGAAATAAATCTTGAGAGAGAGTACCTATTCTGTTGTTAAAATCTGTTCATAGAATCATAGAATAGTTTGGGTTGGAAGGGACCTGTAAAGGCCATCTAGTCCAACCCCCCTGCAATGAGCAGGGACATCTTCAAGTAGATCAGTTTGCTCAGAGGCCCGTCCAACCTGACCTGGAATGGTGCCAGGGATGGGGCATCTACCACCTCTCTGGGCAACCTGTGCCAGTGTTTCCCCGCCGTCATGGTGAAAAATTCCTTCCTTAGATCTAGTCTCAATCTACCCTCTTTTAGTTTAAAGTCATTGCCCCCTTTAAGTACTGGAAGGCTGCAATAAGGTCTCCCCAGAGCCTTCTCTTCTCCCAACTCTCTCAGCCTTTCTTCATAGGAGAGGTGCTCCATCCCTCGGATCATTTTTGTGGCCTCCTCTGGACCTGCTCCAACAGGTCCATGTCTTTCCTGTGCTGAAGGTTCCAGAGCTGGACGCAGGACTCCAGGTGGGGTCTCACCTGCAGAATCGACTCTCTTGACCTCCTGGCCATGCTTCTGTGGATGCAGCCCAGGATCTGGTTGGCCTTCTGGGCTGTGAGTGCACATCGCCGGCTCATGTCCAGCTTTTCATCCACCAGTATCCTCAAGTCATTCTTGGCAGGGCTGTTCTCAATCCCTTCATCCCCCAGCCTGGACTGATGCCGGGGGTTGCCTCGACCCCGGTTCAAGACCCTGCACCTGGCCTTGTTGAATCTCATGAGATTTGTATGGGCCCATTCTTTGAGCTTGTCCAGGTGCCTCTTGTCATACCTCATGTCATGTCTTACTAAATGCTATTGAAGCTGCAGCCCAAATGCAAGTGTGTTATTTGGAGGAACTGTGTTCCTGAAAGGCTAGAAGATTAAATACAACTCTACAAAAAATTCCACCTAAGAAAGCACTGGAGTTAACTTGAAAAGAAAGGAAAATTTTACTTTGAGCCTAGGCACCTTTCTCAACATTGGGAAATGCCTTTTATACCATATCTTGCTACAGGAATGAAGCCATACTCAGAAGTGCCAGCTAAATTTTGCATTGTGTCGTAGCGTGAATAAAAGTGCTTAATTAACTGGAGGTAGCTGAACAAAAGTCGATCTGTATAAAAAACGTTACCAACAATCCATTCCCATCAGTTTTAGAGCGACGCTTTTGCCAGCGCTGCTGCAGGGAGCCCTGCCTGGTTACAGATCAGGAGAGCACAGTGCTCCGCTGCTGAAAAAGCCCTGCTCCCCGAGACAAAGCTTTCTGCCCCCGCTTTTACCAGCTGGCGCTTGCACACGCTGAGATTTCTGCCAGCTGACAATTACACATTTTGCATTTGCGAACAGTGCGGAGAAACGTGTTGAAGAACTAAGAGGTTAATTATAAAAGTGCGCTGATTGAGAAGACAAGAGTCTGTTTAAATTGGAGACAAGCTTTGAATGTTGTAACTACTTCGACTCTAGGCTTTCATCACCTCAGGATCCATCAGCCAGCCATCTTTTATCTTCTTATGTGTGTGTTCACGTTACAGATGTGACACATTTAACAGACTTAACCGAAACTTTCCAGACCTGATGGAAAATTAGATCAAGCAGTAGTGAGGAAGAGGGAGAAATAAAAAAATAATTATTTTTAAAATAAATGTGCTACTGAACAAGTTTCTTGGTGCACGGTATTCAATAGGAAAAAAAAACAGAACTTAAATCTAACCAAATACTACACATGGATAAATTTATGCTAACAGCTGTTGTAAGAATCGGATGAAAGTACATCTGATAAGTGTAAGCCTAAGTCAGTCACTTGAGGGGATTTAGAAACTAATACACCAAGAGCATGAAGGTAATTTTCAGAGCCAACTTAATTGTTATATACAGTCATATCGACAGAAAGACATTTACCAGATACCAAGTCTTTAATCTAGCAGGCAAGTCTTTGATCAGAGCAGAAACTGGAAATTTGAGATGGAAAAAAAAACCCCAGAACACAAGATATGATGGAGGTTTTACAGGGAAGGTGATTATCGAATTTGCTTAGTAGTACAGAAGCTGTCTGTCCTCTGGAGTCTTTCACACAAGATGAGACAGTTTCCTTCATCTCCAAGTGCTTGGGCATGAGGAGGGAGAAGTTAGATATAATTCTGTGGAATCTCTTTGCAAGAGTTTGAAACAGATTATTACTAATAATTTCTTCTGTCTTTAACGTTGCTGACAGCTATCGGTCATACAGTTGTGCTGCTAACGAGACATCTTTTGTGGAAGAGCAAAATCCAGGAACATACGGGTTTGAAAAAATACAATTTAATGAAACAAAACAAAGTCATATTTAGAATACAAACCAGTTGTTTTCTTGGTACAAAACAAATGCTTCCATGCGGATTGTAACTAACACCTGTTCCTATGTGCAAATGGGGAAGGAAGTTTATATATCCTGTCTGCAATCTCAGACTCTGTGCCCTTCTAAATTTAGAGCTCGCCATTCTTTTCTCTTGCTGACTTCAAGTGGCACAGAGAAGCAGAATCTAATCCCCTTGCATCACGATAGTGTATATGGTTACAGGCTAGATTTCCCACAGACGGCTCTAGCTCTGGTATTTCTTAGGGGTTTTGTTGTTGATTGGGAACCTCGATGGCTTTTTTTTTTTTTTTCAATCCAGTGCTTTCTATTTGATTTTGTTCAGGTGGTTTTAGCCAAGAAATAAATATATTCTTTATTATCAAATAATTAAATTTATAATTAAATAATATATTCATCATCGGTTTTGGTTGGCGAAAGAAATTATATATAAAATAACACAACAATACAACCACACCTTACCTGCAAAGACGTCAAATGTGGGAGTAATTAGTTTAATACAGATTGAAGACTTGAATGAGTACTACTGAAATAGAGTTAAGAAGAAAAATTTGATGCAAATATGGGGATAAAAAGTCTGATATTGTGAAAATTTGTAATCATGAGACTGCATTTTCAGGAGAATTGATGGAAATTGCATCATTTAGGTATTTTTTTAAAAGACTCAGAAACTATAACTTTCTAGACATAGTACTCATATTATTTAGTCTGTGTTAGGGTCTTGTATGGAGATTTATTTATTTTACCATGCCAAAGCAAACTGTTTTCTCTTTGAATCTAATTTGGAACTTCTTCCAGTCAGCCATATGGACAAGGCCATCCTGCTTTGAGAAGAAAATAATTTAAGTACCTAGATAAAATCTATGCAGCACCTCTTTCCTTGAGAACAGGCTTTTGCCTGTTTTATTTTCTAGTGTAGGTGAAGCCATTGGAATTCTGCCATTTGTCTTTACTGAGACTAGGTTTTCACCTCTGATGTTTCATGGTCCTTTGGGAAGTACTGTTAGTGTTGCTTCCAGCAGAAAAGATATTTTTAGCAAGACAGAAATGTCAGTGACAAACCAAATGAGGCATTTTCATTGAAAACTAATGTCATGCCTTCGAGTAGCATCCTCTTTGTATCTGCGCTATTACACTATTAGAGCTGTTAAAATCTATTTTTCATTAATATTAGGCAAATAAAAATACTGAAATATATGTCCATTTGTAACAAGTATAATTGGAGAACAAAGAATTAAGGTATGAGCAAAGACGTGACTAATACAGGGCACTGAAGAGAGAAGCACTACTTTTCATAGATGCGGGCACTCAGCGTATCTGTGAAAAGTACTGTTGTCTAACAGGAATGTCAGCAGTGAGACACAGTACCTTAGAAGGAACCCCTTCTTGCATTCCAGTCACTGGTGTCCTTCACACCAGAGTATTTTGATACTGGCTTTCCAATATCTGAGGTCCAATGTTCCAATGCCTAAAGGTGCCGTGAACCCATAATGTTAGTGAAGCTGATTTTAGGGACGTTCTGTGAAAGTAAAGGTGTCAGTACACATACCTCACTTTGTTTTCAAATACATGTGTATCACTTAGCCGTTTCATATTTTAACGGGTGAAACTAATTGAATCCTGCATGAACTTAGAGTGTGCATGCGTTATTCGTTTAACAGGTAAGGTTTTACTGTTATTTAAATGTTACTTTTCGATGCAAAGTGTTTTCACTCTTTATTTTTTCTTTCCTACTATCCCTGATGGTGAAGGATATTCAGAAACCCTTTTTGCAACCTCCCCAGTCATGCACACTGTCCGTCCAACATTCTATAAGGGTATTGTCTTCCTTTTTTATCATTATCAATGCAATAGAGACAAAATCCTATAAGGGCATGCAGTTGAGGCATTTGCAGTCCGTTCAGTGACATGTGGCATAAAGGGAAGTGTGTACCGCCTTCGTAACTCTGTTCTTTCCTACCATTTCCCATTATCCTGACAATGTTTTCACTTTCCAGCTCTCTGCATTTTACCTCTAGAGGAATAGAAATAGCATTTTCCAGAATTTTGGCAATTAGGTATTTTTAAGTACTTGGCAGTTTTTGTGATACAGGGCATGCTCAGTAGAGTATATAGATTTTACTTTATAATTTCATAGTGTAGTAACTACCTAGGATACAATTACCAAATATGCTACTTTAGTCGCTAATTTCCAGTAATGGAAGCAATGACAAATGTACTATACTTGCCCTCTGTATGGTCTAATTTAACATAGTAGCTTCTTAAAATATTTTTATTTAATGTATGAAGTCACAATTTCGTATTCTGCTTTGTTTTTCTGTTGTGTATTCAGTGCAACCGCTTTATCCAAGGATCAGAAATGTTACAACAGCTGCCGCTGAGACCTATGCCAATATCAGTTGGGAGTATGAGGGACCAGATCATGCGAACTTTTATGTTGAATATGGTGTAGCAGGCAGTAAGAAGTCATTTCATTAAATTTTGCTAAAGTGTTCAGTTATATTTTCAAAGATTTTTATAGTAAATGTGGTCCTAAATTGACCCAGTATTAATGATAGCTCTTAAATGTCTAGAATAATTATTTTTTTAATTTGATCAGGAAGATCAAATAATTTTTGTTTTAATAAATATCAATGTGTAGCAGGTATTCGATGCTTAGATAGAATATCAGCCTTTGTTCCTTTGTATTATTTTATAAATTCTTTTGAACGTGAACTTTTAAAAATGCAGTTTGCATGAAATTGTCTATCATGCAGTGATTACCTTTGTAAAAATATGATTACTTGCATTAAAATAGGATATAACAGTTATCCTAAATTATCCCCAATTCAGGAGAAAAAAAAGAATTAAATGAGAGCCAATAAAAACAATATTCTGTGTTAAATTAAACCATAAAGTAAGGTATCAACCAACTTAGGTGCTTTAATTGGCATAATAGCAGGTTTTAATCTTTGATAAACACACATTTAGCAAATACAGCCAAGATACTGTTCTTCTAAAGTTATGACTAAAGATGACCTATCTGAAAATTGGAATATAAATGCATTTTTCTGGATATTGGTCAAAAAAGCAGCTGAGACTGTACTTGAAAAAGGTAGAAAAGAATGACCTGGAAATATAGTAGGTTCAGATTTCAAAGTAGAAGTTTTCGACTAAAGTAAATATTGACTGAAACTACAGACGTGTAATTTAATTAAATGATTAAAATCTATTTTAATGTACTTTATAATTGCAATTTCAATAAGCCTTTTAAAAATAAATTAAAATAGTATTTCTCTAGTACAATGGAACAAATGTTTAAAATAGTCTAGTAATTCATGTACAATGTCTTCTTCAATATATTGCATGCAATATATTATTTGAAGTCATAATTTTATATGATTTTATTATTTTTTGAGAGAATAGTTCTTTTTTTCAGCCAATCCATAGTTTAGTCAACTAACTGTTAATAGTATTCTGTCTAGAAACTTTCAACAGTACAGAGAAAATTAAAAATCCTATATGTTGTTTTCCTAAAATTTTTGTAGGCAAAGAAGATTGGAAAAAAGAAATTGTAAATGGTTCTCGAAGCTTCTTTGTCTTAAAGGGTTTAACACCAGGAACAGCATATAAAGTCCGGGTTGGTGCTGAGGGCCTGTCTGGTTTTAGGAGTTCAGAGGATGTGTTTGAGACAGGTCCAGGTGAGGCACACCGTACCAATTCTGTATCGTAGTCAGAATCGTGGTAGACCAAGTGCTGAAACGTTGAACTGCTTCTAGCTAAGAGATGTTGTAGCTAGCATCTTTGCATGTTCTTTTTTTTAGAGCAATGTTGACTTATTTTATAAACTCCTAAATAATGCCAGCACACTTACTATGTAGATTATCAATGTTTGCATCCTTTCAATTCACTCTACTTGTCTGTTGTTTATATTAGGGGCAAGATACTCACTGCTCACACTCCATCTTGTGTGCTGTGCACTGGAGATGACCTATTTCATTTATTTCTAATTAATATCATTAGATGGCTATATTTAAATAATGTGTAATTTAATGGAGACAAGTATATATATTTAAAGCTAACAACCTGTATATGATCAGTTTTAATACAAAAAATCTGGGCTAAAATGTTTGCATAATCAGAAGTGCGGATTCAATTTGATGACTGTGTAATCTATTTATCCAAGAGTTAAGAGATTCCTGCCTGTAAACGTTTCTGTTCCTGTCATATACTGGTTTTATGTAGATTTTGAAGTCACAACTATATCCTGTGAATCAATAAGGCTGTTTAAGTTCCTTACGTTGATGTTTCAGTCATATTTCTTCATCAGCAAATCAGTAATGCTTGTCTATTTAACTCAGAGAAAGAGCTTTATTGGAAGTTTTTGGATGTTAGCTGAATACGTCGTTGCCATCACAGCATGTTCTTGGTCAGCTGTTATTATTTGTTGTGTATTTGCTAGCCACTTCTGCTCATTCCAAGCATTTTGGTCAGTACATAGTTACTTAGCAGTAGCCTCACCAACTTCCGAATGTTATGATTTAAGAAAGTAGTTTAAATACGAAAATACACTTGAACAATATGTAATAATTATCAGACAATGGGGTAAATAAGGAATATGCTGGTTTCAAAGTGAGCACTTTCTAAAATCATAATTTTTTGCTTTGTTTTGTTCCATTTCTGTTCACAGTTTATCGTGTTGCAGGAAAGCTTTGAAAACATGGTGCTAAATAACAGTGCCAAGCAAATTTGTAGGGGCTAAACACAGAGGTTATTTATGCCAGGGACAGCTAGTGGTGTAAAGGCAGATATGTAAAATTTTAGGCAAATACATATCCAATGTCTAAAGCAGTAGTAAAGCAAGGATCAAGACTGTAGTATAATTCAAAACAAGCCGAATGGAAACCTTCCCAAAAGCATCTTTCTGCACAAAAAATACTGAGCCAGTTGATAAGGAATCCCGTATGTACCCAGTCACCTTGGCTCATGCCCTTGAGTAGTTAAGGAAGAAGGAACTGTAAAGATGCTCTTTTCTGCTTCTCAGTAACAGAAAGGTTCAGCATTAATTATATGCATAGCATATTTCTACATGCAACAAAAATACATAGCATATTTCTACATACAACAAAAATGTTGTGTCATGCTGTCTTCAGCCTAGATGAAAGCGTTTAAACACTACAAAAAATGAGGTGGACAAAGAGGATAATATTGGAATATGGAATGTGTGCTTAATTAGGAACGAAACTGAAATATTTCATATATGAGACTTTTGCCACATTTTTTTCTTTGACAAGCATTCCTATAGAGCAGCTTCGTAGTGTGCAGGTTTGTCTGTTTGAACATACCAGTACAGTGGATTGCACTGACTCCTGCATTAGCAGTTTACCAAGAGTAAATGTCTTTCTGCCTGAAGCAGATAATTTGCTTAGTGTAAGCAGGAAATGTTGTGCCATTTTTAAAGTTTCAATGAGATCTAGAAACTCTTTCCTACTGGATATGCAATAAGTTAAAGAATACAGGAAGCTACATAAGTAAGTTTTCATCTTTACTCTCTCCCACCTATCTTGCATATTTTTATGCATGACTTGTTTGCTTGATGCTATTTCCTACTACATTTGAATGTTAAATGTGCTTTTGCATTTTGTCACAGTATGTATTATACAACCTTTAATGCCTTATTATAAATGCATATGTGCAAAACTCAAAATATTTTTAACCTTAGAGTGGAAATAAAAATTTATTTTAAGTTGATTTATAATTCAGGGGAAGATTGCCCTTGTGATTTTGTTTTTTAAGACCGCCACTTTTTTTTTTTTTTTTTTTTTTTTTTGATGCTTTTAAGCCAGCTGTCTCAGCCTTTGTCTTAACTGATAAATAACATAGAGACATGGGCTTGAATTCTGGCCTATAACTGAATATCGTTGCATTTTATTGTTGGTGTGCTTGCCAGCACAGTGCAGTCTCTTGTCAGCTAGCTGTCTGCCCAGCAAGGCTGTATCACCTGGAATTGTGTCTAGAAAAGTCAATGCTCCCTTGAAAACAGATTGTCTCTGATGTGCTTTTATGAGCCTTCCCATATAGACAGCTTCTCTAAGGAGAGGTGGAAATCTTTGTGGGGCTCTGGGACTTCCACATTTCTGTGTGTAAAGCTACGAATGCGTTGTGTCCTCCACTTCAGTGGAAGCAAGTCTACAGACCTTCCCTAGCAGATACGGGTGAAACACGTTGTGCCATGAGAGCTGATGTACTCCCAGCATCCAAACAAAGACTGTCTGAGGGTCTCAAGTATAATCCAGTCCTAGTGTGAAGTGACTACTAAGCTGAGATCTGAAGTACTGTTGATCCTTACTAAAATCCTACCTAATGTACTGGCTGTGAATAATCCAATACCGTATCTCATGAAGCCAGAAAAAACAACAAATGCTGAATCAAATGCCATGAGTTATGCATAGGAAGTGTTTTGCATTTCATATTCATGTGGGAAGGTGATCTTTGTCTCTCTTTCCAAATAGAGAGAGGTCTGTTGGGCAACTCTTCATACAGTTTCAAATTCTTGGGTTTGGGGCTGGAGGAGAAGGTGAAGAATGCACAAGATAGATAGGTTTGGATGGATGTCCAACTTCCTCCATTTCATGTCTTCTTCTGTCTGTAGCGCACATCCCTAACTCCTCTCACCCTTCCCACTTTCTTCCAACAGCAAATCCTAAGGCCAGTTGCCTGTCGCAGGTTTCCAAACAGGAGAGTAGAAAATAAACTTCACAGGAAAATCCTCCTATGGCACTGAAGACCAGTAGGAGGGATCAATGCCCCAGACCGCACAGATAATTCCTGTCCTTATTAGTGACTGTAATATTTCCTGTGTAGTTTGCTTACCATTTACATTATCTTCCAGCTCCAGTCAGCATTCGGAGAGAGACGGTGACAGGGAAAGGCTTCCCAGTTGCATTGTGCTAAGTCCTCACTAATGCTAAATCATGGCAATCATGATAAATTGTAGGATGAAGTACAGAATTGAGGAGAGGAAGAAAACATGATGCTTAATAAGGCTTTAAAGGATGCTTCATTGTTGATTTTTAGTTGAAATTTAATGTTAGGGTCTTGAATGACCCATCTGTTTCCCCATTTCAGACTAATGGGAGTGCATTAGCTAATGAGTATTGGCTTTTTATTCAATTTGAGAATGCAATTGACATGTTTGTGTGAATTATAATTTGCAATTTTGTTTCGATAGTTTAATTAATGTAAAATGGTCGAGAGTAGTTTTGAGGTTTGTGAAAAGCAATGTAGTATGTGCACAGGTTTTGCAAAGTAGTTGCTAAGCTTAAATGTTCGCAGAATTCTTACATACTCAAAAGCAAATTCTATGCACATGGACTTGGAACATTTTAAATAATGAAAATATTCACAAAACACAGTATCACTATTTTTTTTAATATGATTTGCACAGTGAATGTCATTTCTGAAGTAATGAAGAATGTATACTGGCTATTATTTATTTGAATTAGCACAGCATTTAAATGCAGCAAAACATTTCATTTTTCTTCTTTTATTCTCTAGCTATGGCAAGTCGGCAGGTAGACATCGCTACTCAAGGGTGGTTCATTGGTCTTATGTGTGCTGTTGCTCTTCTGATCCTGATTTTACTGATTGTTTGCTTCATAAGGAGGAATAAGGGTGGCAAATATCCAGGTATGATATATAACAACAAGAGTGAAAATCAGCTACTGGTAATCCATTAACACAGATTTCAGGTTTACTGGAGGAATTACATTTGCTGTTGGTTTACATTTACGTTGTGTATATGGTAGATCAGTCTTATCATTTGGTAGGCTTGTCAGGAGCAATCTGCCTGTTGGTAGAAAACCTCAATCCATTTAAGCATAAGAAAAGTATCTATCTATTTCCTTCATTCCTGGAGAGTCATATTACTGCATTACCACTTTAGAGAGGTTTGAGCTTTGTTTGAGATACTTGGTCCTCCCACCCCACTTTCTGAAGTCTAATCCAGATGGGTTTAACCCACTAAAATGAGCTGAGTTAGAATTTCATTGGTCAGAAAGTGTGGAAACATCAGATCATACCCACCATGTTGCATTAATGTAGTGGGAACACATTTCCTAGGACAAATCCCTTCATACATTATTTTGTTTCAAATACATTACCCTCCTTCTCAGAATCTGTCTTCAGCCTCTGCATTTTTGCAGCCAAATTTGAAGGTACCATCCTTCAGTTAGGCTGTTTTTTCTTCTGTAAGTTTTTCTTGGTAAGAATTCTTCTTTTTAGTTTTGGGGGGGGTGGGGGTAGTATTAGGCCTAGGAATCACCAAGAATATTTTATAATTTGTAATTAAAATTTGAACTATACAACATACATCTTCTAGGAAAACTCTAATTCCTCTGGGCATACATACTATAAAAGGCATTTATGTGTGTATGTATGTATGTGTGCATATACGTGTCTTACATTTATGTTTATGGAGTAGGTCCATAGACTAAAGCTCTCTTGAAAAGGATAGTGACAACCAGTTTGCATAGAAGAGCAGTGCTGCCTGATAGGATCTCAGAGCAGCTGTGAGGTATGAGTGGATATGAATGGACTTCAGGTGGGCATCAAAGGATAATCTGATGTTTCTTTTTCCTCTCCTACCTACAACAGAAAGGACAACGGCTAACTTTCAAGTAAAATTGTGATTTCAGGAAAAAATTCTGTTCTATATCACAGACTCCAAATGTTTGGAAATTACATAAATATCCAGACTCTGGAATGCTTATCTGAAATCAACTCAAACTTCTTAAAGTTCATAGTATTAATTTGGACATGAAAAAGATAGCTGTACTTACAAAAGTACAAAAGAAAATAAATCCACACTCTGTTTTAATTTCTCCTCCTTGTTTTGACCAGTGCACTTCTGAAAACTTGTGTCAGTGAACACTTAAAACTTTTCCTCTTCGTAGGCAAATCTTTTGTAGCTGAACTTAGCATAGCAGATTATAATCACCTTATTAAATACAAGAATCCTACTTTGCTCAATCTAACTGTTTAATTGTTTTATGGAGAGAACAAAGATTTGTAGTGATAGCAAAAATTAAGTAAGAGAAGCTTCTGTCCCAACCGCCTATGCCCATGGAGAAAAGACAGATGATTAAGGAACACAGTGTTATATGAAAGTTGAATGACAGGCTGAAGATATCATAGGTTTTTTCCTAATATTTGGATTTTTTTTTAAAGAGAAAATGAGATTACAGAGGATATAGGAAAAGTGACTCTTAGTGGAGAGAACTGAGAAACGAGAAGGAAAATTAGGAGGGTGAAACAACTGAAGCGATGAAACTGAAAAGAGTAGCGAGGACTTGGAGTGAGCCACCATCTAGAAGAGGTTAAAACAGAGTAAAAGCATAGAAGGCCGTTGGATGCTATGGTTGTCATTAATTTGTAGAGACCCCTGCTATGCCCTTCTGCAGAATTACTAGGTGTAAGTTATTAATTTTTTTATGCACACATACATATGGATGTACACACACGCGTATAAAAATGCTATCAATTGGCTAGATATGGTAGACTTGACTGTTTATAAAATTCCCAGGTTCAGTATTTACTCCTGTTTATAGCGGTGACTCTAGAGCTAATTATATTTCTTGTGTCACTGCAAATGTACTGTTCCACAGATCGCGACAAATGCAAAACACGAAGTTAACTGACTCTTTTGTCGCAATTTTAACATGTCATCTTGAGATTGCCTGTGGTTTGAAAAAAGTGATACATTATTTCAGTATGAAATCATAGCAGCCAGATACATTTCAAGGTGTTATGCATTATTGTAATTATAGACTTAGAAAATATTGTCAGGAATGATTCATATCGTCTTAATAGCATATAAACTAATGATGTATAAACTAAGTGTGTAAATTACCAGAGTAAAAGATAAGAGATTGTATATTGACTTATGTAACTGTATCTGCTAAAAAAGGGAAAGATTTGAGCAGTGGCCAAAAAAACAGAAATGAAAAGGCAAAGGGAAGAACCATAAAGATAATTCTAGAAGTCAGTATATTGTTTTACTCTGTCAACAATCTTAACTTAGGGGAATATATCTCTTCTATAAATATCTGTCTTCTCAGGTGCTAGTGGGTTTCTGTGTCAAAGGACACCATGCTACATAGGTTGTTTTATAGGGACAAGTTAGATGTGTGGATTTATTCCCACCAGCGAATGATGACTAAACCTATGACAAGGATGTGCAAGAGAGACAATTGTGTTAAATTTAGGTTCCAGTGTAGGTGGTTTTGCTTTGCTTTTGATCATGTTATAGAAAAGAAAAAATGTACAGACCAAACCTATTTTTTCCGATATTAGTAATTCTTAAAATACTACTTAAGATTCTCTGGAGTCTTACTGCATGAAATGAAAGCAGAAAGTGTACAAAATGACAATCAACACAAGTGAATCTGATTCAGTTATATCAATCAGTATGAGAGGAAAATCAAGAGGAAATAAGGAGCCAGGATAAGTAAACCTAAATTATTCAGACTTCAATAAACAATAGCTCTATTAATGACATAAGAAAGTATTTTAGTAGGATTTTTAACAAAACTTTTTGTTCAGTGCTAGAAATGAAGAAAAAGTTTTACTAATTCTGAATGACATACAGTATTTTGTACTTGAGTGAAAATAAAATTTTACAATTAGCAGATCTTTCCCTTCAAAAGAAAAAATGTAACAGCCTAAGGCCCCAGCTCAAAAAATGATTTTTATTCAAACCACATTCCAGCCAAATGTGATCAGTTTGAGAAATCAAGGACTTAAGGTTTCTCGTCTTGCAATTTAATCATAAAAATTACCATTTCAAATATTTTAGTGAAGGAAAAGGAGGACGCACATGCTGATCCAGAAATACAACCTATGAAGGAAGATGATGGAACATTTGGTGAATACAGGTGAGTAACTGATGTGGTTTTTCATGTTCACTGTTCATATCACACATGTACTGTGTTTAATATCACACTTATTAATTCAAAACTAACTTTTTTTCTGTGTTGACAACGATTCTATACTCAGTGTTGTATAGAACTATAGATAGCATTTCAACCACACTATTAGAAGAAAAAAATTTAACTTCCAAGCTTAGAATAAGCCATTCACTAATGCAAGGTGAAATCCAGATTCAAACATGATTGTCTCGAAGTGAGGAATCTTTATTTACAAACCCATCTTTCAGATAGGTAAAATAACAGATACAGTGTCCCAGTTAGGGCACATTTAGCATTATGGGTTTTGAAAATGCATTTTAAATGGCTGCCAGTACTAACACCTAATCCAGTAACAAGGAAGTGATGTTATACACAGAGGTGAAGGAATGTCAGGAATGTCCTACAAGAAAAAACAAATCTTCCTTTCATGTATTTCAGTACAAGATACATAGCAGGCAGCTTCAAAGCATGCAACACAGCTCTTACATAGCTCTTTAATAGAAAGGACTCTCTTCCTTTCTATTAAATGTAGTCTAGGTGAATCTCCTGGTATCACAAAAAGCATACCTCAACAAGTCTGTTCATAGAAAAATTATGAGTATAGTTTACTAAATAAACAGCATTTTATTTGTTGGTTTTTGATTAGTACAGGAAATAATGTTATTGTTTCTAAATATGTCAATATCATTATATTTTACATGGGTGTTAGAATAGATTTTATAATGCATTCCTGTGTCAAAAGCATTGTAGAAGCCCTTTATTATTTTGAAGGTGTGACATTTACAAACGCTCATAGAAAAATCAGTTTTTTCAAGAAGGTTCTACTCTCTTGCCATAGCTTGTTCATATAAGGGAAGTGTTCCTCTTGATCTGACTGGAAAAGGTTTACAGTTCTTAATGCCAAAGACCAGTTTCTGTTTCATCTTCCTTAATTTTAAAAAAATACAATACTCTGTTCTTAGGTTAATGAGTTCAGAATAGTATTTTATTACAGTATTAAGTGCATATGGATTAATTAAATTCAACTGATAAAAAGGGAAGTGTGAAGCAATGTTTGGAAGCAGAGGTAAATAAGTACTGTATAAGTTTTCCTAGGCAGTCCAGTTTGCATTCTCCTTTATTGCTCCTCTGTTTTTCAATACTTGGAACTTTCAGCAGCAGAAACTGACCTCGTACAGAATTGTACAAATTATATGACCTCAATACATGTTTTCTCAGGCAGAATAAGACTATTCAGGTCTGCTTTCATGTGTGACCTGTAGCAAGATTTGAATTTATGTCTCCGTATTCGAGTGGCTTGAGTTAATCTATAGAATCATCTAGTGCTTTATTAAATTATTTCATAATGCATTTATCCACCTCATGTCTGGTGAATGCGGACAGGCGCATGCCAAGCTTTCAGACTTGTTCACATGAAAGAGCTCATCCTATCTACCATGCAAAAACTCCTTTCTAAAATGTATTTCTGTGTAATTAGTCTATATTGGGCTTTCCTCTTTTTTCCTTAGAGACAGGGCAGCAGCAGCAGCAACCAGTCAGATTACAGAAGATATCTTGGCACCCTCTCTGCAGCCCAGCATCACTGCAGTCCCTCAGTTCCCAGTTTGTCTGCCTCACATGACAGTGGTCATGATGCAGTGCTTCCTTGAGGAAAAAGGGTATAGGGTTTCCCTTGAAAAAAAAAGTAATTTTTGAAAGATCTAGGAATTCGAGTATTTTGAACTTTTTTCATCACTTCAGGTCCATTTCTGCTTGGACAGGAAAGAAACTGGACAAGGAAAAGAAAAGAAAAGGTAGCTGTGCCAATTCTCCTGAAGCAGACCCTGTCTTTACCAAAGCAAAGTCTGTGAGATCTGAGAGATCCAACATCTTCAGAAGGTCAGGGGATCAATACTCCAGCACGAGATCAGAGACCTCCTACACCAGGAGGAGGGCTAGGCAGTCTTCAGAGCTTACAAGGGTTAGTTCTGTCTCTGCTTCCCTCTGCCGAGAGGAAAAAAGGTCAGACGAATGGAAGTACAGGCATGGCTCTAGACAACATGCTTCTGAGCAACAGATAATGGGGTCGGAGGAGGGCTCAGATTCTCAGGCAGGACAGCCATCCCCTTTCCAGCAACCCCTCAGCTGCAACTCAATTCGTGGCTCACTGGCAAGGCAGCATTCTCCTCTCCAACACTGGTTCAGCCAGACCCCAGACTACAGCTCAGATTCAGAAGACACTCAGAGCTCCTACCACAGGAAGGTAAGACCTTCTACTACTCCTCACTTCTCTGAATCTGAAAAGAATTCATTAATGAAATCTGTAATTTTGCCTGAGTTAGCTACTGTCTTAAAGGATGCTTTGACAGCAGCCAGGCAAAGTATAACTTCTGTGGCACAGGCGAGGTCCCATTCAGTAAAGCATCCCAGGGTACCAATTAGAGAAGTTCCAGTGGTTCCTCTAGAAGCAACGGGGAGCAGTTCCCAAACTTTTGAGTCTGACCATATGGACAGTTTAAAAGATCAAACAGCTTCTGGGAAGGAGAAATCTGAGGCTGACAAGGCCTTGGAGGTTGAGTCATCCCCTGAAGAAGGGGAAGTGTCATCTGAGTCCCCTACAGAAGACCAAGAAGGACCAGATCCTCTGCGTAAGTTTGACATGGAGAATCAGAATTATCTGTTCAAGCACATAAAGAGAGTGTTAATGCTAGAATCTTCCAAATCTGAATGTGCTTCAGAAGAACTGCCTATCCCCTCTGAAGAAGGCAAGATAGATAAAGCACTTCCTATCCATTCAGCAGTGGAAGATCTTGTCTGTAGGATTTGGGGTAACCCTGAGGCAAAGCATGAAGTCCCGACAGTCCTACATAAACTCTATCCTTTTCCAGTTGATAAAGCTGCTTTGTGGGGGACCTTGCCTCAGGTAGACAGAGCACTGATTACTGGTGATTCTGTACTATCAGTGCCTGCTAGTATGGATGCTCTCCCTAACGATCCTACTGATAGAAAGGTTGAGGAAGCAATTAAAAGATCTTTCAAGCTAGTTGCAGCCCAGCTTGGAGTATCTATCTACTGCACTTATGCTTCTAGAGCATTACTAATATGGTTGGAGGAAGAACAAGCCAGATTCAAAAAGAAATGGGTCCCATCTAGTGCCATGCAGAGAAAACGCAGGCTATGTAAAATTGCAGCTGATTTTATCCATGACGCAGCTGAGGATTCTCTTAGACTCACCATTAAAAATATGGCATGCCTCACTGTAGCCTGGAGAGCTATATGGCTACGTCCTTGGACGTCGTCACTAGATCTGAAATGTAAACTGCTGTCTTTACCATACACAGGTGGCAAGCTATTTGGTGAATCCTTGGTCCGGGTCATGAAGGATTTCTCAGAACACAAACACTCCTTACATCAGCTGAAAAAAAAGAGCTCTGTTGGAAGCTCTTCTTTTTCTTATCCTCACAAGCATCTGAGTTCCTTTCGTTCTCCTCCGAAGTTTAAAGGAGGGAAGGGAAAGTATAAGGTCTCACAGTCATTTCTTGCCAATTACAGAAGGACATCTCACTTTCAGAGAGACACCAGACCATCACGAGGAACTTTCTAAGAACATAGACTTGCTTCCTCCTTTCTCAGAAACTGGGAAGACTGAAAGAATTGGAAATTTATACTGAATAGACTTCAATATTTCTGGACAAGTAAGCCCAATGCTTCTTATTGGGCTTTAAGATTTAAATTATTAAATTACTTAAATCTTAATGACTAAATAAGGTATTCTAGAAAAGTTATAGCTTTCAATTTTAGGGGAGGTTTTTTTGTCACATTCAGTTTCTAGGGCTCCCAGTATTCTTGGGATGGTTGTCCAAACAAAAACTTCTTTGAAGTTTTGCACTCTTCGACTTCATCAAAGAGCATACTTTCTGCAGAACCAGCCAACATCGGATTTTCCTGCCATATCAGTCTAATGAAGGAAATAGTGCTTTAGAAAACATAGGTGTTTTAGGAACCACAGAATGACTGGGTACACTATGTTCCTGTGGCAGGAGTCATACCTGCACTTTTACATAATAAGGGAAAACAGTACCTCTGTAGCAAGCTGCACTACAGTGCAGAAACCAGTGGTTTCCTGAGTTTTAGAAGACTGAGACAGTAAATTGTGGACAGTCAATGCTTACACCAAGAAACTGCAAGAAATACAAAAAGTACCATAAATATATGTTTATTTAGATTAAAATTAAAGACTATCTAGTGCTCCTGTTCACATCAGTGTAGGTGTATAAATCGGCCTTAATTTCCATCCTGGGCCCTAAATCAAGAGAAATTAAGAAGTTACGGTATCTACAGACATGCGGATTCATGGGTAGAGAGAGACTGCAAACATGCATTTCTTAGTTAACTTCACAGCAAGTTAGAAAGTCTAGTGTCTCATTGCAGTCTGCAAAATGTTCTTAGGAAGATCAAACAGGACAAGGCAACTACAGTGGTAGGACTGCTAGTGTGGTTACACCGGACATTTGCACATTTTGTTGCATTATTTTCCCTCTTTTCTTCAATGTTTTGCCACACAATATTTTTCCTAGAAATTCGTGGATATGCTATGGGAGACTTTCTGGAAATGGGTGGTGGAGAGTTCTGAGATTCCTAGATAATATATTACTCTTCCTTCTTGTTCTGGGATGATTAACAATGAGGATATAGTTTGTAACTACAACAGCTTTTTTTTCTCATGTAGTTATTCAAGTTTTATTGCAGCTTTGGTGTGTTTCCAGGGGACCTAGCAATCATAGACTCATAGAATCATTTGGGTTGGAAGGGACCTTAAAAGTTCATCTAGTCCAACCCCCCTGCAACGAGCAGGGACATCTTCATCTAGATCAGGTTGCCCAGAGCCCCGTCCAGCCTGACCTTCAATGTTTCCAGGGCTGGGGCATCTAACCACCTCTCTGGGCAACCTGTGCCACGACCCTTATTGGGAAAAATTTCTTCCTTGT